CGATTTCCTGTGGAACAGGTGCTCCAAGAACAGGACCTCCTTAACCAGTAGGATAGTCCTCTACACAGAAAGTAACCAAAAACTGGGGCCCCTGGTGCTAGAATTGGATCAGAAGAGGCAAAGGATTGTCTGCGGGGGAGAGTTTTTGAAGGGATCTTGTCACCACTTTGGGGTCCCATCCAAGGGAACAAAGAGTTCTGTTTTTCCACTTTTGCAAACCTGCAGACACCACCCCTGCCACTTCCCCTCCTTAGAGATTCATGGTTTCATCATTAAAACCCCCTCCCTAGGGGATGGCTGGTTAGCTCAGCTGGTTAGAGCTCAGCCTTATAACCCCAAGGTCACGAGTTCAGATCCCCATACCAGCCAGCCACAAAAACAAAATATAAAAATACTACCTCCCTAGGGCTTCAAATCTGGGTCCCCCAGGACCCCCCTCCCCCCCGCCGAGGTCCCAGAGCTGAGGTCCCACGAGGAGCCTGGGGTGGACATGGTGCTCATGTCTCCTTAACCCACGTGGCACAGACCAGCGGCAACGGGAAGCTGGAGTTGGATGAGTTCAAAGTGTTCTGGGACAAGCTAAAGCAGTGGATTGTACGTGACCTGGGGCAGAGTGGGGGGATGGTCAAGGCCCAGTGCTGCAGGCTAGTGGGGTGGATCCGGGAAGGGGACCAGGGATGACATTGTCGCATAAGCAGTGCTTCTACCAAAACAAGGAGGAGGGCAGGAAAGAGACCGGCTTCCTTGGAGGGCCCCGCTGACCACAGCCTCTGCGGCCCCCGGGAGGGACCGCTCCTGGGCCGGCTGTCACCAGGTGCTGCCGCTGCTGGCACCCTCCACCTGCTCTCCTGCTACCGCCTCTGCCCTTCTCCCCGCAGAACCTTTTCCTTCGGTTCGATGCTGACAAATCCGGCACCATGTCCTCCTATGAGCTGCGGACCGCTCTGAGAGCCGCAGGTAGGGAAGGGCCTGGGATGCAGGCTGACTGCGTGTGGGGGTGGCCCTGCTCTGTCGCAGCCCTGGCAGGTGGCCGGTCTTCTCCCCACTGCCCGGGAGGAGGGTGTTTGAGTTGGTGCTTCTTGAGGTCCCAGCCTCAGACCCAGGACTCCTTCAGTCCCCCCAGGGCCCTCGTTTTGAACCACTGTGAGTGTCGGTGGGAACTTCTCAAATGCAGCCACTGAGAGTGAACTTGACCCGCCCACAGAGGCCTCTCAAACTCGGGCTGTGTCTTCTGGCCTGGCAGTTGTGTGTGACTCTTCGGTGGCGAGCTGTGGTGCTTGTGGGCATCTAACTTCCAAGGGACGGGACACGGCACGCTGCACCCGTGCTTTGGGGGCTCCTGTGTCCCTCTGCCCCCTGTGGCCTTGTCCCCAGCTTTCTCAGCACAGACTCTGAGTCCAGGCCCGTGATTCAATCATGGTTATACCATGCTCCCCTTCCCGAGGGACAGGCTCCAGGCGGTGGCTCTGACCGTCACCTGAGTCCTGTGGCTCCGTGTCCTGTGCACACAGCCGTGACTCCAATGGGCACCTGCAGCGGAGCCTTGCCGGCCACCTCACCCTTCTTGTAAAACATGCGTCATAGACAGGACCTGCTGACGCTTAGCACGTGGTCCCTCCCAGGGAGCCCAAGCACCTGAAACACTTCCAGCATCACAGTCTGATACAGGGACAGAAAGCACATGGTCAGGACCATCTTGGGTCTCATGTGAGCAGGAGAAAGAAAGACGGGTTGTCACTGTGGAGGGTCCCACAGCTGAGAAGGTGCTGGAGGCTGGGGACCCTGTGTCCAGGGCAGGAGGAACTGAGCAGGGTACACTGGGAGCCCTTCGGAGAGGAGGGCCGTGACCAAGTCTTGCCTATCCCGACTTGATGTGGGTGAAGGGACTGCTGCCCACCCCTTCCTCCAGCCCCATGGAGGGCAGACGCCGGGATTCCGGCGTGGCCAGCAGCCAGCCCACTGTGCAGCCTCCGTGCTGTGCCCTGCGTGTGACCAGCCTCCTCTGGCTAGACACCCCACAAACACCTCCTGCAAAGGGAGCGTGTGGACTGCAATGAAGGGGAAGAAAATTACTCTTAAGGGCATTGATTAGAAATCAAAGCATTAAATATCGGATCTAGAAGGAACGTCGCCATGTACTAAACCCCTTGTATTAGTCCTTTTCTGATGCTTATAACAAAATACCTGGAACAAACTTTATTGCTTACAGTTTCACAGGCTGGGAAGTCCATAGTCCAGGGAATACATCTGGTGAGGGTCTTCCCTGGCAGTGACGCAGGGTCTCACATGGCGAACGGCAGAGCA